TATAATCTTTATACCTTCTAAAATAGGACTATTTCATTTGTGAATAATAATATAAAAATGTTTCTAGACTTGTAAGGAGACATGGGTTCAACCCCATATCCATTCCAGCTGGCTGGATGACCTTGTTGATACACTGGTAGCCTCATTCTGTCTACGAAATAAATCACAGACAATGCACTGCTGCTCACATTCGTCCAGGAAAATTTGATTGCAATAGTCCTTAAAGAAATTGAAGCTTGAACTAGGCCCAGGTAATTGAGATCTGAATGTCTTCAGCATAACCAGTATGTTAGTCTGAAGTCAAATTTTTTGACCTTTTGGTTATACAATTTTGGGCAGAAACTTAACCACTCTTTGGGTTTTTTTATACTTAAAGATTTACAGTGAACTTCATAGTCCTATAGAGATTAAAAGAATAAAACATGCAAAGTGCATTACACTGTTTCTGAAACCTAGAATGGCTCCTAAACTAGTCAGCTTTTTATTTCAGGCACAAGACGGCATAATGCTTACAAAGCAGACACTGGCTATTATCATCTTGGTACAGTCTTTATCTCTATCACTTTCTTGCCATAAGTGCTTGCATTGTTCATTTAATGTTCCTCCTTCTGGGTTTTCTTTTTTGTGAAATAAAGGCAATAGGATCTTTTTCAGATAATTCTTTTAAGGGAGAAATTGTTTATACAAACAAACACTCCATATGAAATTGATGTAACTTGAGATTTTTCCACATAAATTTCTACAACAAGAATTTGTGCCTAGTTATAAATACATCTCACAAGTTTGTCATATATGTGTCAGTAGAACTGGTAATAATCCAAATAAAGCATCTCCTTTGCACCCCAGTGTTTAAAATCACCCTGAACTACATAGTAAGACCTTGTCTCAAAAGAACCCAAAAATTTAAAAAATGGGTGAATAAATCAAGTCACTCTGGAGTACCTTGTGTTTCTCCATGTCTTAGTGAGATTGACACTATTCATTAATGTACAGCCTTTGGTTTTTTATTCTCTTTATACTCTTCCTGTCTTCCTACTTTGTAGTTATCTCAACCTGTCTATCTTGAGGAGTGATGATAGGAATAACAAAATGCTCTTTGAACACTACAGCCCCTGGTGGCAATCCAAAAGAATCATGGGCAATTGCTGTGATGACTATGTTGTGTGGTGACACAAATCATTATCTAATAACTCAAAGCAACATATAGTTGTCATTCATCTCTTATACAGTGCCCAGAATATTCTCCCATTTATGGATGAAGGGGCTTCAGGATCAAAGGAGGTTGACAGAGATTAAGAACCAATTCCTAGATCACTAGATTAATTTCAATTCATTTCTTTTTTACTCTCTTTTTTATACCATAATCTTTCATTCTTTGAAAACTTTCCAGATCTTATTCTTCAACTCTTTCTCAGGACAGAGCTTTCCAGCACATATAGGTGTCAGGTGTGCTGAGCCATTGATCTCCCTGCCCCCTGCCCTCTGATTGACCAGAAAGCTTGAGAAAACCATGGCACTTAAGCAGGGTATATTTGTCACCAAGTGGTCCTTCTGCTAATCTTAGTGTGTCATACAAATGTCATCACTTTGTTTTATTTGCTATGATGAAGAGAAGTGAGTAGTGTATCAGTATGGCATATTGGGTGTGCTCTCCACCTAAATTTTATCACCTCAAAATTCATTTGTTGAAATCCATTCTTAGAGGTGATGGCATTTGGAGGCAGGGCTTTGGCAGGTGATTAAGTCACGAAGACACAGCCCCCATGAGTAGCTTTACTGCACTTAAAAGGAGACCCCAGAGTTTATAGTAAAAAGATGGCCTTCTGTGAACCAGGAAGCAAAATCTCAGCAGACACTTAATCTACTGCTACTTTGTTCTTAGACCTCACAGATTCCAAAACTATGAGAAATACATTTTGTTGTATTCAGTGTGTGACAGGTTGTTACATCAGCATGAACAGACAAAGATAGGGTAGATGCCTCTGGGTTAACACTCTGATCTTTCCTTCTATGTGACAACAATTTTATCAATTCTGAATGGGAGAAGTTACATATACACACATAATAGATGTATGGAATTATAACTAAATATACATATGTACACTTTAGATAATAAACCACACAAGCATCAGTGATAATATTCTTTTACCTAGGATTTTCATGTAGTTTATTATCCATCTGAAATCAAATATTTTTGAGAATGAAATGGGGGATACTAATAGTTGGAACAAAAGTCATTGACCAGAGTTCTCTTAACAAAATCAGGATATATAGTCACACTAGCTCATTGCATTAATATGTATGTTTAAAATTACCATATTTGTTTCAATAGATAAAATACCTACATTATTGGAAAATATCAAAATAATCCCTGTGAAATAGCGTTTTTCCAGTTCCCATTTGTCCCTTCCTATCCCTTGCAATCCCAGTCCTCTTAGTGTTTTCTACAGCTCTTCTGTGTATGTTTATGCAAAAGCAAACAAATACAAATCTTCTCATGTGCTTTCTGCAAATTTTCTCTTATCAACAGAGGATGTGTCTCTTCATTTGGGTAAGGAGCTCTCTACTATTCCCTGGTTTGTTTATACAGTCATTTTTTGAAGAGTTCTTGGGTTGATTCAAGTATTTTGTTATTATAAATAAAACTCCAGTGAATAACCTTGGTATGTATTTCATATCTTCGTACATATATATCAGCAAGATAAATCCCTACAAATGGAGTAATCACTGGATGATACTACAAATTAAAATGTAGTTTGCACAAATATTGCTAACTTTTCACCCAAAGTGTGTTATTTTCTATTTCTCTAAGCAATTCATGAAAATGCCTGTTTCCTTGCAGACTCCTCATCCGAGTATGTTTTTTTAAATTTCTGTATCTTTGTCCATCTGAAAAGTGAGAAAAGTATCACAATTGCGTGTCCCTTATGATGAGTTAGGTTGAATATCTTTTCTTTACTAGTGCATGTTTGTAGTACATAATGTTTACATTCCTTGTAGAGAATTGGTACACCTACAGAACACATTTCAGTTCCCTTTTTAAATCTCCTTTCCTTTCCCTCCCTCTCCCCTGTGTCTCTTGATCCCCTTTGTTTTTTTGATACATGTGTGCAATATATAATGTATACACTCCTTGTGTGCAGTGGATATATGTACATAACACACTTTGATTCCTTTTTTCATTCCCTTTCTCTCCTCTTTCCCCTTTCTCCACCTCTTCCAATATGTTTTTGCATATTCACATGTCTTCATTATCTAATAAATGCCTATCCTATTTTGAGGTCTATCTGTTTCATGAAAATTAAATATCTTTATTAAAGAAACTCTTTTCTGCACTTCATACTTTCCCTAGTATACTGTCTGGAAAAAAAGAATATTCCATAGGTGTAATTAATAAATTACAGAATCACTGTGATGTTTCTTTTCACACTATTTTAGCTGCATTTTATATCACCTTTTCTAAACTTTAACTCATATATTTTTCCCTTAGGAAATGATGTTGAAACTAAATATGTTCATAATGTAGGATACTTGGATAAAAAGTTTCAGCACATAGAAAACTATCTTAAAACAATTATTCATCTCTTTCTTTCCAATGACATAGTCTTTATTCAATGTTAGCAGTGATATTTTTGAAATCCTACTTTGTTAACTTATAACATTCCTTATCTCCCTTATTGTCAAATCATGGTTTTCTAGATGGAAAATCAGACCCTTTGAGGAGTGGTGCAGAGTCATTTGAGAAACTGAGCTGGTTTTTTTCACTTCCTTGTGACCCTGCTCCAGTGGGACCCACACTGAAAGCTAGTCCCCACTCAACAGCTCTAGGGAATACACAACAAGGAGCCTCGAGGAGGCCAACAGTTTCAGAAGTGTGGTACATAAAGAGGCAGGGATAGAAGAGATCCCAAGGAAGATGCTAGAAGTTCTGTTGTGATCAAATGCTCAGGCAATGGGCCAGGATGGTGCGGAAGAGCTGAGAATACCTGAGGAACAGGACTAGGAGAGGTCTCTGACTTTTCCTGGTGAGTTCTCTTAGGGGATGGCAGGAGAACTCAGGGGATTTTGGTATGGATTCCCCTCCAAAACCTATAATCATTTTTAATTTCTTTAGGGAATTATACTATATCTGTGTTGTAAGACTGTTGAAAAACTACTTAAATCTTTTTTTTTTTTTTTTTTTTTTTTTTTTTTTTTTTGACAGGGTCTCACTATGCAGTTCAGGCTGGGCTTTTTTAGGGAAGAGGAAGCTGAGGTCCAGTGCGAAGTTACACAGACCAATGTGAATTGCTTGTCAGTTTCAGATCAAGATCACAAGACCAATCCTCTACTGTGAAAAAAGGATTGCCCAGGGGTTCTAACCCATAATTTTCCTCTTCGAGAATCATTGGTCCAAGTGTTTTTGGGAAATTGTCTTTTAGAAAGTGCTGTGTAGCTGTTTGGTAACTAATCATCAGGCACCATGAAGCTAAGAATTTAGGGTTCACTCTCAGGGCTTTAGCATTACTTTCATTTCCTGTATCTTCACTTTCCAGTTCTTACCAAAATAATCTATACACTCTGAAATAGACAGACTTCCTAAGAGAGGTCTCAATACTCACTTTTAGATGACTTTCTCTTTTCTTTTCCACAGCTAGTATTGTTGGGAACTATATGAGGGAGAGATGTAGCAAGTTTCTCGCTCTTCTTTTACATGATAGTGATATAGGAAATAAATGAAGCTGGTTAGATTTCTGAAACTAAATATTATAAAAAGGACAAACTGGGATGAGGAGCTTTCCTTTCTAGGTCTAAACCAGTCACCCACAGACACTATGATATAAGACAACACTTTTTTGATTTGAGGCTATAATTCCTCCTTTGTAAAATGAGTTTATTAGATAATGTTCACGTTCTTTCAGGTGCTCACATTTGGGGTCCATGGTACTGGGAGCAATTTCTGAACACAGGAAGAATCCTGAAATCATTATTTTTGCCTTTGCCTCTTGTTGCTAGGAATCATGGATCATGTCAACCACACCTGGACCCAAGCATTCATCCTTGCTGGCTTCACTGCCTCTGAGACCCTACGACCTATTGCCTTTTTGGGGACTCTGTGTGTTTATCTCCTCACTCTTGCAGGGAACTTGTTCATCATTGTTCTGGTTAAGACAGATTCTGGGCTCTCCACACCTATGTACTTTTTTATCAGTGTCCTGTCCTTCCTGGAGCTCTGGTACGTCAGCACCACTGTGCCCACACTACTGCACACTTTGCTCCATGGGCGTTCACGCATCTCCTCATCCATGTGCTTCACACAGTTGTATGTTTTCCATTCGCTGGGCATGACTGAGTGCTACCTGCTGGGTGTCATGGCGCTGGACCGCTATCTTGCCATCTGCCGCCCACTCCACTACCATGCACTCATGAGCAGACAGGTACAACAATGGTTAGCAGGGGCCACTTGGTTGGCTGGTTTCTCAGGTGCAATTGTGCCAGCCACCCTCACTGCCACTCTGCCGTACTGCTTGAAGGAAGTAGCTCATTATTTCTGTGACCTGGCACCCCTAATGCGGTTGGCCTGTGTGGACCCAGGCTGGCATGCTCAAGTTCATGGTGCAGTGATTGGTGTGGCCACTGGGTGTAACTTTGTGCTCATTTTAGGACTCTATGGGGGCATCCTGAGAGCAGTGCTAAAACTACCCTCAGCTGCCAGCCGTGCCAAGGCTTTTTCTACCTGCTCTTCCCACATGACTGTAGTGGCACTATTCTATGCTTCTGCCTTCACGGTATACGTGAGCTCCCCAGGGAGCCGAGCTGAGGGCACTGACAAGCTTATTGCCTTAGTGTATGCCCTCCTTACTCCATTTCTCAATCCTATCATCTATACCCTTCGCAACAAGGAGGTGAAGGAGGCTGTGAGGAGGGTCACTGACAGGATCAAGACATTTTGGGGAGGACCCTTATGATCTCTTTTGATATAATCCATATTCTGAGTAACTGTAAGAATCAGCTCTTTGGTCATTCATTTGGTCAGAATGAAAGTATGTATCAATAAAATAATCAATCAGATTATTAGTTAAACATGTTGCAAACATTCAGATAGAACATGTAGGTGGAAGAGTTATAGCCTCTGATTACTTCCTGAAGTACCAGAGACAAACTGTTAGGAGGTGGAAGGAAAGATAACAAATAAATATTTTAGCTGTATTATGACTTGGAGGGGGAAGCGCAATTCTGGGAGAAGGAAGAGCAACTGGGGCTAGAAGTTTTCACTTTAGTCAAGACAGGATTTGAGAAGAACATTAGAAAGAAGGTAAATAGCATTTTATTCTTTTTTACAAAAGGAGATTAAAATTATAGATAAGGTGAAGTTTCAGATACACAACAATGAGCATGGAGAGAAAATTTTGAGTTGGATTCTTGTGATCTTGTTATTGTGCAACGAAAGGCAACTTAGTGGAGGACAGAATTCTCTGGTCAGGTACATAGAAACTAGAGATAATAATGCACCATCTTATGGGACAAGAGTTGGATAATGGAGATGAGAATATTGTTTGAGTTTTCTTTCTGCAACATGTAATCCACCTAAAATTAGAATTTGAAGCCATATTTTAAAACAACCAGCAAATAAACACAAAGCTTAAAAATTTTTATATATAAACTCTCTGCATATACAGTAGAAAAGAGACTAGAATTCAATGCAGAGATAGAACCATATTCTCTGATCATACCCCAGAACACATTTCCCCCCACTTTTCTACCGTTGCTGGGTTGAACAGAGTTTGAAAATTGATAGGTTTTTTCCATTACTATAATTCCTTTAGAGTCCCTGTGGCGCCACCTACTGGAGACTATATGCCATGGCCAATATGGCACTGGCGCTTAGAGGCCCTGTGCTAAGCCCCATCTTTCTTCCCAGAGTCAAATTAGGACTTCCTACTCCCCTTTATGTAATATCTTGTTTCTTTTTCCCAAGCTCCTACCCAATGCTAGCCTGCCACGTCAGCTACCCCACCCCCTAGACCCCGCCTCTAGCCTGACTGTATTTAACCATTTTTCTCTCAGCCCAACCCCCAGAAGATCCTCCTTCTCTCTCTACTCCTCCCCTCTGTGATCTTCTCCATGCCCCGCAATAAAGGCATTTTATTGTTTTATTACTTTCTGTGCTGCTGGCTGAACACCTTTCAAAAATAACTCATTAGGGCCAGGGATATAGCTCAGTGGCATAAGTGCTTGTCTGGAAAGCCTGAGGTCATGAGTTTGATTCCTGGTATAAAAAAAAAAAAAAAAAAAAAAAAAAAACTCATTAAACTCAACCTCTATACTTCAATAATTTGAAAATTTGGGGCCACCAAGTACCTACTAGAGGACAGTCACATAATTAATGAGAGGGGACTAACACCTTGACACACTAAGTACTGTAGAGTCTTGGATATTCCTCATTATTCTCATTGCTTTCAAATACATTGTTGCTTAATCTTCATAATATTCCTCTGAAAAAGAAGAATCATCTCTCTACTTATTTTCATAATAAAATTAGGAATATTACTGGAATTGCTGTCAGCAGATACAGATTCAACCCCAGATTTACTCCAGATGCCTGGATGACCTTGGAAGTAATTGCTCAGCATCATGCTCTTTCTGCAAGATGAGTGGCTGCCTCTGAGGAACTGCTCACGTTCCTTCTGGTTTAGGGAGTTTTGATTCTATGATTACAATACTTCTTGAAGAAACTGAGTATTTCCTGTAAATGGAAAGGTGTCAGTTGACGATGAGGTTTTACATTTTTGTCTGTAGAATCTTGGGCCACAAAATGATAACTTCTTTCTGACTTCTGTTTTGTTTTCCTTAAAGAGGTCTACAACAAAGTATTCTAAAAATTATATGAAATTAAACACATGAAGTGTCCCCAAATAACTATAATTTTACATAGACAGGGAATATACTGGTTATAGAAGAGACACTGAATTTGTCCAGCTTGAATTCAAACATGAATTCTATTATTTAATTTCTGCTTGGCCTTATGCAACACATTTAATTCTCTGTGCCTTAGTTTTTCATATTTGTAGAATGATCAATAATAAGGCCTTAAATGATAAGGAAATGTCAATCATTTTTGCTTCAAAATAAGGGTTTTTGCACATATACTTCTGAAGCAGGGATTCATTTCCTTGAAAATGCATACTTACAACTTTCTCACATTTGTGCCATGTTTATAGTCAGTAAACTTAGTAACAACAATCTGCTTTGGAGCTAAGTGTCCAAGTCTGTGAACTAAGGAGTATTTGTGTATAAAGTCCATACTATTTTGTTAAATACCTGATGCAGTTACTGCATTCTGCTGGCCTGCTAAATCTATTGTTTTCGAGTTCCTTTCAGTTTTCTTTTCCTCCACCTCACTTCACTCAGACCACATATTTTTTGGTAGGGCATAACAGGAACTCTGTGGTTTCCTCTGGTAGGAGCTCTAAGGAGTGGCAAGAAATAGCTTATCTTTAAAGATTTGTATCACATTAATTAGTAGCTCTCTACTGATTAACTCTGTTGGGGTCATACTCTGTGCTGAGGCTCAGGCATTTACTCTGGTTGTGGAGACATCAATAGCAACATAACTCAGAGCACTATGCACCACACCATTGATTCATAGCACAACACTTGGTGTTCATTTATACTGGGATAAATAAATGAACAAACTCTTAAGAGTCAAATGAGTATGGTAGATATTAAATTCTCCTATAACACCACCAAAGGAAATTATTTTCATCCATCCTCTATAACTCCAAAGTACCCTTGCATTTTGTTCTACAATCTTTCTCTCATGAAACCTCCTTAGGTTCATCGCTGTAGAATATGGTTTAGGTCATCCTTAGCACAGAGCTTCTCAGCATATACAACTAGCATGTATGCAGAGTTCCTGAGTCTTCACAGTGGGAGACCTACTGTACAAACTGTCAGCCAAGGTTCACTAGAGTTCTAGTTCTAGAAAGGGCTTTGGCAGAAAGCACCCTTTCTGTTCACCTCACTTTGCCCTATAGATATCATCTTGTCTTGTAAGTGATGTGATGTAGGTAAGCAGTACTTAGTATGGGAAATGTTGGGTGAAAAGTCAGCTTAACTCTTGGGCACTTCTCCAATATTTACATCTGGACATTGATTAGGTGGACAGACAATGTGAACCAAGAGCAAAAGGGCAGCACAACCAAACATTGGCCTTAAGGCTAACGTTCTACCACATAGCATATTTAGATAGCTTTTATTCCAAACACAATTATGTAAGAAAGCAGAAAGAGATGCTGTTAATAAACACCTGGGATGTCAAGTGAAAATCAGGGCTGCCTCACGCAAACAATGGTTTATGACCACAACATATCACTGCACATAGTTTTATAAGAACAATTTTATTTTTCTCAACAAATAATTCACCTTAGCAGTCCAAAAATTAATGTAATGTAAAAGAATTTATAGAAGAAAGTCTTGCTCTAACTCTGACTTATAAGATCCTGTGCATTACTTATCAACCACTGGTAGAGATGACCTTCAATTATTTTCTTGTATGATTACCATGTCTGTTTTATAAAACCCAGAGAAGACCAATATTGTTACCTCCCATTCTTATGCATAAGGCCCCATATCATGTACTTTATTCTGTCCTCTATTCCTATTTTTTAATAATAAATATTGAAGATACATCTATTTTCTTATGGAGAGTACACACTCATTTTAAAATAATAGCTCCATAGTATTCCATGGCATCTTTAACTTCACCAGTGCTCTGTGAAAAGACTCAGGTTGCTTGTAGTTTTAGCTGCTAAAGATATCACTGTAGTAAATAACCTTGTATATGCATCCTTTTCTATATATTATATACAAATTCCTACAAGTGGGAATCCTAGGGACTTAGTACAAATAACTTTGGTAAATATTCCTGAACTTTTGCCTAAAGTAATTATATTACTTGGCTCTCCTATCAACAAGGAAGGAAAATGTATTTCTCTGCAACAACTTCAACTGTGTTTACATAAACTCTTAACTATTTGTAAATGTGAAATCTGAAACATTAGCTCTCCCTGTAGTTTCAAAATTCACATCTACTTTGTTATATTTGATGTAAAAATTTTGCTTTAAGTTGAAAGCAACATATATTTCTATATTGTTAACATTCTTGGTCTGTCTCCCCACTCCTACCATACAGAAAATATCTTAAAGAAAAAACAATATTTTATGCATTTCATCCAACTACCTAGAGTAAGGGATGGAGTAAAATAGATATTTAGGACTTGTATTAAGGAAATGAATAAACTATTGTGAATGTATTTCTTACATTTTTAAATTGTATGTGGGTATTATTTTTTCTAACCTTTACATCACGTTTTTAAAGTAATGTTTTACTATCATGTACGGGTATGAATTCCCTAGGATGAATATGATCATCTCGTATATCTAAAATGTACCAATAAATTTGATTTTTCTTTTTGAAAAAAGAGTATAGGACATGAGTTTAAGTGCAGGGAGAAAAGACCATAGGAGGGAGGAGGAAGAAAGCAGCCATCTGCAAGCTTACAAGAGAGGCCTCTGGAGAAACCACATCTGCTGAGCCCTTAATCTTGGACTTCTCCACAAATGTGAGCAAATAAATTTCTATTAGCCAAGACATCGGGCCTGTTGTACTTTGATGCAGTACGTTCTAGTAAAGTAATACGTATCCCTTTTCCCAGTTAATGTTGCAAGAACTGTGTCTTTTTGGCATGTAAGTATGGTCACAAAACCCCCACATCTCAAGCCAGTTCTAAATGTGGAAAAGAAGTACCAGATCCTGGTACTATTGGAAATGCCTGTTGGTTTGTTTGTTTCCCCCCACACACCATTTATTTAGCAGTAATTATGAATTACCCTTTTTATAGAAGCTCATATTTCCACTGTGTACCCTTAGTAGGTAACAAGTTTCAAGGCTTAAGAATGGTTGGAC